AGTCTCTTCCTTTTGAGACTGCTCGCGCTCCTTCTTGATTGTGTCGATCTGGTCGAACACAAAGCCGAGGCAAGCCAAGAGGTTGGAAGCCGAGAAAGGGGGTGTTAGAGAGAGAAAGCAAAAATTTATTTAGGGTTTAAGTGATGACATCATCCATGTACAGTAATTGCCTCTCACAGTTAGTCCCGCTGTGAAGCAGAAGCGAGAAGAAGGAAAAAGACTAAGAAGCCTTTGAGGTTTCGTCTAGGACCTTCCCATGCAAAAAATTTCACAAACTGAGGCTCGGATGCTGCGAACGCCCATGAATATTCTCGGAGAAATGGGGAACGAGAGTTGGGATCTAGGAATCGGTTGCGAACCCAATTCCGGTTCAATTCCAACGGGAAATGGGATCGGGGGAGAGAATTTTCTGGGGAAGGGAGGATTTGACCGACGAGGAAATCTAGGGTTTAGGATTGAGGAGGAAGTTTGCGATTTCGGGGGAGGGGATTTTGGTAAGGTTTTGTTTGAGAGAGAGAGAAGGGAAGGTCATAAAAAAAACTCTGCATTTGATGACATGGTTAAGAGAAATTATTTTAGGAAAGAAAAATTCCTTTCCAAATGACGGAAAATATTTTTTTTTTATTTTCAGGTCAAACACCAGAAAATATGGTCATTTTATTGGAAAATGACTTCTTGAAAAACATTTTCCGCGAATTAAATGGACCCTAACATGGAATGCTTTTTCTAATCTAGAGTAAGGGTGATCATAATTTCAAGGTAGAATTGGGATCCAAAGAATTGGACCGGTGATAATCGATTCAATTCCAGGGTATGCAGGGAAGGTTTCATGTTCCAAAAATTAGGGAATCGGTTCTAATGGACACCTTCCAAACTTGGAACTTGAAACCAGTTTTTGTGTTTTTCTTGTTCTATGTGTTTGCACAAATGTACGGTATTCTATAACGTTCAATGATTGATGTGTAATCTGGAACCATTAGTCCGAGTTTATATTTCTGTCAATATCCATAACTAAAAATTTTACTTTTTTAATATTTCATATGCTTAATGTATATATGAGTTGTGGTCAGTGGATTGTTGTCACGTCCCGGCCAAGACCGTGACCCGTGGGCTCACTTTGCGACGTCCCGTTCAATTTTATCTTATCGTTACAATCAAGCGGAAGCATAAACTCGGGACAATCACACTAACATCAATCAAACAACGGGGTTAAGATAATAATCATCATGAGCAAATATTATATTTACTTGATGACATATATTACAAGCCAAACATTTTTACATACCATTTCTTCTTAAGGGCCGATTCACATACGTGTATTCGCTATAACATACACGATCGAGTTACCCTATCACCGCTACCGTGATTCCCTCCAAAAAGGTTCTCCCTAAAAAGCTTATTCCCAAACGCGCTCGGTCCCTCCCAAGTCAGATACGCCGCCTATGCTCTGTTTGCAGCGTTCTCGGGTGCCGGTCTGTTGGCACCACCAAAAGGGCCACTAAACACGTGGAGGGGTCCGAACAATCCGCCTTCCATCCACATATACCAAACTTCGTACTTATGAGGGATGGGGCTGTCAAGTCCCTCATAGACCATGACTTAAGAAATCACTTTTCGATAGGCTCTACCCTCCTCCATATCTATGACGTCTATAACGTCCACTATAAGCTCCACGGGGGTACCGAAACGCACAGGCAGAAACGCCATCCTACAAGTCTGAGGAAAAACATAGGGAGTGAGTCAAGGACTCAATAAGTAAATCCACTAATATCAAGTTGGGAGGAAACAATCGTCGTCGGACACGCGTCCAACCTTACCACGCCAGTGTCATTAGCAAATCAATAGCAAAGATACATTTACCTTGCCTATGTGCTATCCATGGCATACGCTCCAAACAAGAGAACATCAAGCATGGTACACAAGTGAAGCATGCAAAAATAAAATACACGGGATTAATTTATTCTTAACCGAAATCCATCGGTTCTTTCGAAATCCATCGGGCATCAGAAATCCATCGGTCATCCGGAATTCACCAGGCATCCGAAATCCATCAGGCAACGTCTCGAAATCCATCGTCGACGGCTTTAGTCCCTCGTGTGTCCATGTATCACAAACATCGAGCAAACCGATTTCTTTTTTTTTTTTTAGTAGTCCAAGCAAACAAGGTTGCCCGAAGGCATGAGTGCATGCGATTCATGGACAATAAGGTTAAATCATCTAATATGTCGGTCACGGTCCAGGACCTGTGATTTGATCCGACGCGCCAAGCATTGAATAAAATCGTACTTAACTCGGATCCGATACGCCTCAATATCGAACCTTTGCTAAATAAGTCTTGATCCAAACGCCATAACGTGCGTACAAGACATACGTTTCCTATTTCGCGACAGAGTCGTGCTTGACTCACGACTATGTCTTGCAAAACAACAAAGCACACAAGCAACAACAAGCAAATCCCTATCATGGCTCGGGTAAAGACACAAATCAACAACGTGTCGCAACATCCTATCCCGAGATTAGGAAATCTACTTACTGTACTTAGACCAAGAAGTGGTCCCAAAGAAAAGCCAACAAAAGGGGTTGGCATGAGGGAGAAGAAGTGAGTGGCGTGAGAGAGAGAGGATGGCGTGAGCAAGGGGTGGCCGGATGGTGGGGTAGGCGTGTGAGATGGTGATGGTGTGAAGAAAAAGAAAGACTAAGTGGGGACACTTCTATTTATAGGGTAGCCTACCAATGCCTTTTATGAAGAAGAAGCCAAAGTCTAAGCTAATGATGAAGGGGCCTTGAAAGTCTTTAGTCATCATTAATCTTCTTCTTCAAGCCTTCAATTAAGACCATTCATTCCCAACTTGGTCTCCAAGTCTCTAATCTAGGGCCATGATATCCTATTAGGTCATTTAAGACCAAGATAACAATGATAGCTTCACTTGTCCTTGGCTTCTTTCAATTGGGCGTGAATCACTCTCTCCTCTTGGCTTGGGCACGACTCTCTTGGTCTTGGCCTTCAAGACATACAATTATTGGTGTCTTCCTCAAGACACCTCAATTATTGGTTTTATGTCTGTTATTGATGTCTTTTTTGCCAAGTTCAATTATTGACAACTTACAAAGGAAGTTGTCAATTTGTCTTCTAGCCCATGAAATCCCTTTGGGCGCGAATCATTCCTCTAGGCTCCACAATTATTGGTTATCGCAAGACAAGCTCCATTATTGGTCCATAGCTCTATTATTGAGGTTCGTCTTCATCATTGGTTCTTGTAAGACAAGTTCCAGTATTGATGCCTTTCTTGTCAAGTTCTATTATTGGCCAACTAGCCAAGTCAATTTGTCTTCTTGTTCTAAGAAGCTCTTGGGCATGAATCACATGTCCTACCTCAAGAACACTAATTCCAATGGCTTATCTTCCTTTGGGCACTAAATTTTCACTAAGGCTTAACTTAGTAAGCAACTAAGGCAATTAGGGGTTTCAAGTGCCATAAAATGATCGATCATCCCGTTTGGAACCGAGGTTCGGTGTAAAAATATGTCCAAGTATGATTGGACACAACCGAGCCAAAGATTGGGCTGAACGGCGCAAGGCCGAACTAGCCGGAATGTCCTAGCACATGGCCTATTCGGTCGAGCCTGATCAGGCGCAGGGCTTGGCACACGACCTAGCTGCACGGGCACAGAGCCGAGCCGAATGTTTGGTGTGCCGAGCACACGGCTAGGCTACACAAGCGAGGAGCCGAGCACACGGACGGGATACATGAACGAGGGACCAGCTCATGGGCTGAACACATGCATTGGCTCACGGCCGGGCACAATGCATGGCCTGTGGCCAAGTCTGATCGGCTTGGGACTAGGTTTGGGCCGGAACTGATAGGCATAAGGCCTGGCACAAGGGTTGGGCACACTGACTGGCATACGGCCGGGCATGGGGCCTGACTGACAGACTCACGGTTGGTCCATGGCCGGGCACAAGGCCTGGCTTGCACGGCCAGCACAAAGCCTAGTCCGCGATCAAGCCACAAGGCTCTTGGCTTGGCACATGGCCTGTCCATAGCCTACCAAACTCAAGGCAACGATCCATAGTCGATTTGCGACCGGTCCATATACTACCCTTGATTGTCATATAGCTGCGTGAAATCGAATACCACGAAATTGGTCCATGGACGCCCGTGACCAGTGCATGGTCAAGCGGAATCATCCGCGATCGATACATGCCCGCACGGCATCAATCCATGGCCATCCGGGATTGCTCCACTGCCGACCCTTATAGTCGAATGGTCGATCCATGGTCGAATCACTCTAATCGACTTGCGTGACTGGGAAGTCATTTCATTGTCGATTCCTTGGTTGATCCATGGATGATCCTTCGATCGAACCATGACCGATCCTTTAAATACCCTTTCCGACCATACCAGCCGATCCATGACCAACCCTCAGATCGATCCGCTCGCCAATTCCATGGCCATTTTCCTTTGGTCGACTCGGTCCAAATTGGGGATGTCACAATTGTAGTAGCAAATGATGGTCATTAGAGGTGATGATTCACTGCAATCATTCAACTAAGAATATAAGTGGAACCTAGATAAACCCTAGAACAAATCTTGAAACCTATGACAGGGTAGGTTTCAGGTTCCAGAGTATACAAGATAGGTTTCGAGTGGAACAGAGACCAACCTTGGAAGTGCTCCCCCTTAATCTAGGGTTCATTTGTTTTAATGAAACCTTCATAATAAAGGAAAATATTTTCCATGAAAACATTTTCAATAAAAATGGTTAGCTTTCATTTGTTTGATGGTTTATGAAAAGTGATTTCCTTTTTACTAGGAGGGGAAGTAGTTATCTTTCAATCTAAGCTTGTTGTTTTCGGTCAATGGAAATCGTTTTCCGTAAATCGATTAGTTTTTCATCATCCAAACACCAGAAACTCGGAAAATAATTTCTCTGAAATGGGTTTCCTTCAAACAAATAGAATCCTAGTATCGTGTGCCTAAAGAGCTAGATTGTATGTGTGGATTAAACGTTCGCGCATCTATCATTAGCATCCTCAATTGCTACATAGTAGTGGATACATTTCAACTCGCGCTAAATCACAATTGAGGCCATCCAAGCCCATGATTTTTCTTGCTAATATCCGAGAATAATGGTTATTTTCTTCGGAGACAACAAGCTAATTTATATTCACCATCGCCAAGCGCACATCAAGAAGAAGACTTAGACCCTATTGATCATCAGCCATTCAATTTAAATTAGCGGAAGGAAGTCAACGACTTACTTTGCTATATCATATGCACACCCCATCAGTAATGTGAATTATCAGCTAAACAGAGCAGGATCTCATGGCCCAACGGTTAAAGCCCCACCTACGGCCCGGACACATTTCGTGTGCACCTCGTACCCGCACTCCAGGCACTGGTAAGCCCACCCAGAACCCTGCTCGTCGCAGTCGCAGCATATGAAGGGCCCACCACTGGTGCAGTCCGAAACCAGGGTGAGCTCGTGGTGGTGGCCTGCGTGGAACTCCGACTTCGGGAGGCCCTTCGCCTCCTCGTCCATCTGCCTGTGCAGCGACGCCAACCGGGCCTCCGTGAAAGGGTATGCGTTCTCCTGGTACAAGTTGATCAGGCTCCGGCCATGCTTTGTGACGGTCTTGCCGTCTGGGCCCAAGATGACCAAGCAGGGAATGCTCTGCACGTCGAAATGCCTGGTGAGCGCCCTGATGTTGGGGTCCCCGAAGGGCAGCGCGAGCCAGGGCATAAGGGCGAAGTAGGAATCGAAGGAAGCTCGGTCGCGGTCGCTCGACACATAGACGATCTCAAAGTCCTCAACGCCCGGCCTCTGGGAGATCGCGTGCTTGATCTTGTGGTAGATGGAGGTGAGCTTGGGAGTGAACTTCATGCCCGGAAGGCACCACTGGGCTGAGAAGAATAGGCCCAGTGTTTTACCTACTAAAGAAGCAACTGGTACCTGCACTTTGAAACAGTGAGATCCACCATGTGTTTGAAAATTACTTGACCTTTGAGTGAACTTTGGTTACTGATATCTCAAGTTTTTCTAGGATCGCAAAGTCGTGTTAAATCAAGTTTGGTTAATACTACTCTTTTTCTACCCATTTGATTCAATTTTGGTCTGACCCAATCCGACTCAAGCTGGGATGAAAAAGTTAGCTATATTATGCGGCATCCTGATTTTTCTTCTGAACCGACTAAATTATTCTGATCACATGGCGGTTTCTACGTAGGAATCCATGGTTGCTCTTATATCCATGGACGGTTATAAGAAGTAACAAACTCCTTATGTAGCTTACGTGGGATCCACTAAATTAATGGTTAAGGTTAACTCAATCCAACGGACCTGGTATAAGGAAAAACTTCCCGTTAGGAAGACTAAATTGCACTAAGCTCGAGGCCGGACCTAACATAAAATGTTTCCAAACTCAAACAGTTCGCATTTCGAGTCTGGAAAAGCCAGGCCAATTATCAAATTCATAATTAGATCTAAGCCGAATTAATGATACTAACCTGACCAGTCGTAGAGTGACGACCCAAAAGATAATCTCTATCATCGCTGCTGAGTAAATTGGTAATTGTCTGGTTCTCATGTTTCTCCTTCTCTTCTCTCTCCAATTGCTCCAATCTCTCCCTCGTAAACGGGAATGCTTCGACCCCATAACGGTGGACGAGCTCGACGCCGTTGTGCAATACCTCCTCTTCCTTAGTACCGTCAGGTTGAAGGATGATCAGGCACGGGATGTCCTCGACGTCAAATTTACGACTCAACGCCTTCTTTGACTCCAAGTCGGAGAAGGGGATTGTGAGCCACGGCATGGAGGAGTAATAGCTGCTGAACGCACTCAGGTCCTCATCAGCAGAGACGAAGACGACCTCGAAGTTGGACCGATTGGTCTTCAGTTGCTCGTAAGCGTTCGATAGGACACGGTTGAAGTTTCGACACGGCGAGTACCAATTTGCCGAGAAGTAGAGGCCTACTACGTGGCCTTCCAGATCGGAGACCTTCACCTGTCACAGCCAAATAACTCCCTCCATTCTTATTTGTTCAGCATATAAACCGAAGCCTTCAACTAAGTTTAATTCTTTAATCAACAGTTAAATCCTGAATCCACAATAAAGATTGGAACATTTTACCTGGTGTCGTTGACAAAATTGAATTTTCTACTTTACGATGCTTATCATTAACCTTTAACAGCAATAGTGCTAAGAGCTTAAAGACCAGCAAACGCTTAAAAAGGGCAACTCAAACAAAGCATGAAATATAAAAGAGAGAACGCATGTTTTTCAATGCATTTTCTGCATATTGGGACAGGGTTTTGCACGCCTCCTACTCTGTTTCCTATGGAATATCACCATCTTCATTCATTCATGACTTATAAAAAGTTCGAAAACGACGTCCCACCACGCGACAACACTTGGGAGCTCCTCTGAGATCCACGTATCTAGGCTAGCTGGAGCAAGAAATTAAAAAAAGAAAAGAAAAAGGGAAAAGCGAAAGGCCCCGAAAAGCTGATGATTAGGTGTTCCTTTTTCGTTTGCGGTGGTGTTGAAAAGACTATGGGACGCCCGCAACGAGGAAAATGAAGATGAGGACTGCGAATTTGGTAGGTGGCGGCAGCAGAGCATGGCCTCTTCACAAGAAGCTTCTTTGCCAAACCAGACACGGCCCTCCACCAGATGCAACACGACAAGCTCCAGTTTCACAATAGGAACGGCGAGAGATAAAGACGATCATTGTACGTTAACCATGCAATGCGTTTCACGTTTGTTCTCTCCTCTCCAGGTCTTTCACAAGGTAGTAAGATGCGTGCTTAAGAGGGGAATGAATACTCGGTGATAGCTTTTGACTCCGGGATCAAGCACAGTTAGTTTAGATCTGACATATTCGATGTTCAGATTACAGCATCTCTACCTGGAATTCAAGAGAATCACGTTCGCTCTCTTGTCGGTTAAATCTTATGAGATGCACGTCAACTTAGAGATTCTCTATGCATTTGTGAGTAAATTCCATAACTGTGTAAACTTAACAAAAAGAACCGCTTGAAAGTTCCTTTGCTAAGCTTGCAACAAACCTACTTTATTTCCCGGAAGGCAATAATAAAGAGATGACATGCGCCGTGAAACCAACATATAAGCATCAAATGTCCGAGCACTTCGCTAATCACTAAGATGCTGCACTAGATGTGGTTTCACGAGTCGTAAGTGAGTGGGTTGATGTTAGAAAATTGACACGATAACATTAGAATACGGTAAATTGTGATAGATGCAGTCGTATCTATAGAAATGGAAAACCGTAACAAAATCTATGTCAGTTTGATAGTGAGAATACATATCGTTCCTCCATTCTCTAAGCTTGGCTCTGGTTAAGGGCACGAGTCTTTCCTTCAACGAACCGATCTAACCTTTGTTTCAATGTAAATTAGTCCTCCGTACGTCATTTTTCTCTATCCTAATTCATAGTTGAGTACATATAATTCTGCTGCGCACCTTAGCTTAAAAGGGTCTTGATAATACCTAATCAAGACTGCTCTCTGGAGACTGACTTGGACCATAACCCACGTCAAAAATCTGAGCTTTGTTCTCCAGTTATCAGACCAAACCTGAATCCAAGCCTCTAATGACCTCGGAAGATTCCTTTGCCGCACGACGGACTTGTTTACTTCCCATGTAAGATGTAAGAGAAGGAATCATATCTTGGAATGATCGAGAGATCGCTAACACTATCTTGAGGAAAGCATCAAGCGAAAAACCAAGAGAAGAAAGAAAGACATGATCCTAGCTTCATCCTACATGAGTGGATTCTTCAACAGTTTCCCCTCTCTTTTTCACTTTAGATAAGTTTAATGATGCGAGGTTTCTACGCAACATAATCTTTTTAAATAAAAGATTAGTTAGCAAAACATAGGAAACATCGAAAGAACATTACACGATAAGACGTCTGCACACAGCTAACTCGTGCGACCACTGTCTATGCCGACGATGATATGAAGCTCTACTTACTTCTGCTGTAGAGAGAGAGAGAGAGAGAGAGAGAGAGAGAGAGAGAGAGAGAACCTGAGATCCAGTAGGAGAGAGAAGATAGTCACGATCTTTGGAGGCCAAGAGAGACGTGAATCTGGAGGTCGAGACCTTCTCGGCATCACCGTTCAAGGCAGCTTCGACCTGGTTGATGATCTTGTCTTCTCGATCTCCTCCTTCGAAGTTCATCTCCTCAACCTCTCTATCTCTCTCTCTCTCAAAAGTATGGATGAAAGGGCAGGCATTACGGTCGATGGGAATAAATAATGCTGGATATAGCCAGTGTGGTATACAAATTGATATGCCTAAATTTGATAAAGAGATCAAAAGAAATTTTAATTGAACATATCAAATTGATTTATCTTTTTAGTTTTGTCTTATCATATTTTTTTATATATTATACGATACAAGTACCGAAAACAATTGTTAAATAACTGAAATTATTACAGGTTTTAATAATGTAAACTCTTTTCATAAAGTCCAAAATCCAAATGTTTATAATGTTATGTGTTTCTCGTTAGGATTACATGTGCGAACACAACAAATAAAAAGTAAATACGAGAAAAAAAAATTAAGACAGAAAATTTTATCTTGATTCATCCTTATACTAGGACTATATCAATTAAAGTATTTCATTATAATTAACGCATCTCATCTCTTTATTATAATTCTTAATTATAAGAAAAATATAATAACTATTTATGTATCAAAACCTAAACATTATTAATAAATAGCTCGGGGGTGCTGCCCCTGCTACCTCCGTTGAAGCAGGCCCGAACCCCTGCCTGACTTTCTGTCAATAAGAATTCCGAATTACACTCCAATATTTTCTTCTTTGGCTTTTGGAAATTACAAGAAGAATTCGCACAAGCATCACATCGTCTCATCCCTGTGCAAGAAGCACACACCACACCACACCACACCACACCACACCTCACCAGCGCAACACGTAGCACTGGCGCCCCCCCCAAAACCGAGAGCGACGCCGCCCTACAGCACGACACGCCCCACTGAACTCGCTCCATCGCCACCCACCGCTTCGACACCCGGTCTCTCGAGTCAACGCGAAACCGGAAACACCTGGCACGTGTCCCGTGATCAGCAGCCTAGTGAAACACTTCCCGCTGCGACGGGGAGCACCGGATGACTACAGCTTCTGGTGGGGGTGTGGGGGCCCGGGAACTGGAAAGGAGGGGTCCGTGTCATCATCATTAAAGACCGTGGAAAATTGGTACTTTTCGATGGCAGCGAAAGGCGAACCAACGGAGGAGGACACCTGTCTCGGCGTCCTTCGCTTTCTCCTTTTCTTTTTCTCTCGCCGGGGCCAGGATTTCGTGCCCCTCTTTCTTTTTTCCCGGAAAATGATGAGGTGGGGTCTCTGTTGTGTACGAAACTCCGTTGTCTGGACGTGCACAGTCTTTGGATCCAACGGCGTTGACGGACTACATGTCCAGGTGTGTGGGGGGGATGCTGGGGTACTTTTCTCGGGAAAATAATCTTTTTCTTTTGCCCGCCTTCGACGGCTGGGATGATCGGGATCAATGGGCTCTTGCCACCTTTGCATCTGGGGTTCCGACACCGCAGGACGCCCCGCGATCTGCATTATTTATCTGGCGGTGGACCGTGTGATGTTATTGAGACGTAAGCTGGATCGGGGTAGGAGACCGTGGGACAAGGAATCTGCAAGGATTGCGTCGTACTTCGAAATCAGTCATTGGGAAAAAAGAGTTTGGGTAAATATGGGGGGATTGGACGAGGGAATCTCTTGAAATTGTTTTGTTTTTCGTTTCACATCTCAAATCTCAGGTCTGTCTTCTCCTTTTTCCATTCTCTCATGTAATTTCCAAACAAAGTGTCGTGTAATTTTTATGTCTTCAGTGGGAAAAAGAAGTGAGCGACTTAAAGTAGGTTAGGGGTGGCAAACGAGCAAGTCGAGGCACGCCACAGCACCGCCCCGGCTCGGGCCTTTCGACGTGACGGGCCATGCTCAGACTGGCTCGTCACGTCACGTTGGCCCATCATGGCACAAGCTTTGTGCTGGGTGGGGCTAGCCCAAGCTCGTGGCGACGACGGGTCGACCCGACCATTTTGTGTAAGGCCCTTGTAAATGTTTTTCAGGCTAATGGTTGTGGGCCACTACAAAAGGAGGTCACCTTTGGTGCCAAAGGAACATCACAAACAATCCATGTTCGGCCAGCCCGTGAGTTTTCAAAACTGGAATTCGAACCGGCAGAGAATGGTCAGGCCAGTTCCGGTCTTCGAACAGGCTGGGATTGCGATGAGAACGAGCTCACGAATTGCATTGCACGCTTTCAACCTTTTTGAGACGCTCATTAAATGGCACTAGCTGGCCCCCTCCTGTTTCACTTGCAGCCTTTGGGGTGGTTTTCACTCTCCACCTAAATAACGAAATTTTCAATAGCGATAGCTACTTGATCATCGGTAGATATACAAGTAGATCCCTATAATCAATAAGTCTCTTACTTAGATAACACATACCTATAGCACGAAAATTGCTTAAGACATTGCTTGAACTTATGATCTCTCGTTAAAAAACGCACGATCCCCTTTACTTGGGCTACCGTGCTCCACAATTCTCACTAACCTAACTTATAATCGAATGTGTATAATAAGCCCAAACAATCTCAACCATCGTCAAGTGAGTCCCATTTGAAACCCCCATGGATCAACGGCCGAGATGCATTAGAATCCTAGACACCTGGATCACTGAGAATTTTTCGTTCACTCGCTCACTGCCACTAGTTGCCGCCATGCCCGGCGGAGCACCAAACTGCTTCCATCTCTTTAGAAAGTTGAAAAGAAATAAAGAGACGAAAAGAGAACTAACCAGCGCCGACCCACCACTTCACCGTGAAAGTCAAAAAGTCCAGGAGGAATCGGAATTCTAGCATGGGCTTTGATGATCTTCGGCTTCTTCGACCCACGACCGAGGCTCGAGCTTGGCCCTGCAGACGGGGCACACCGAGTGCCGAGCGAGCCACGCGTCGGCGCACTCCTGGTGGAACCCGTGGCGGCAACCCGGGACCAGCCGAGCCGGCTCCTCTCCGGCCACCTCCTCGAGGCAGACGGCGCACTCCGTCCCCGCCGCCAGCTCCTTCCCGGTGACCCTCGGCAGCTCCGCGAGCTCCTGAGCCGACAGGCCTCGGTCTCGGGCCGGCTTGTCCGCTCCGCCCCGGTGATAGTTGCCCGAGACGTACCAGAGGAGGCAGATGTAGAACGCCAGCATGGCGCTCATGCCGGCGAACGGAAGAGAGAGAGCCAAGATCACCGAGAGGAGCATGTTCCTTCTCCACCTTGGGATTTGCTCTTCTCCTTTATTCCTGGGTCTTGTTGCTCTCTCTCTCTGTTAAACTTGAGAAACTGTTCAAGGTGGGTGGAGCGGCGTGAAGCAGGCCATCGGTCGATTGGCCGTTTCGTTTTCTGCTTTCAAGAAGAAGCTTGTGAAAATGGTGAGTGTTTCTATGGATCGTGAGGATCTGCCTCCGGATATGCTGGTTGGTATGAAAAATGCGAGTAGATCTCTCGTAAATTTATTAAATTTTCGCATATTGTGTTGGAATTAACATAAAAATATAATTACCACAAAATTGTGGTATGGGAAGTCTTTTAAAGCATCGTATACGTGTGAGGGGTGATCGGTTACAAAGTGAATAAGTTCTAGATCTGGAAGCCTGAAACCTGGAAACTACTATATTATAACCGATTCTCAATTTTTTGAACCTAAATCCTACCCTGTTTATCCCGAAGCCTGTTTTAGAATCTATTTATTTTTTCGGTCCGATTCTAGGGTCTACTCTAGAACCTGCTTTTCTTTTTTTTCCAGCAAAATAATATGAGTAGTAATCAAACTATTCAAAGTAAAATATGAATAATATAATAATAGTAAAATCACTATCCGCCAAAAGTAACAATCCCCAAAATAAGCAATAGAAATTGCTATCCACCAAAAGCAATAATCCAAAATATAATAATAGTAGAGATAAGTGCATTCAAAGTCCTAAAACTTGTCACGAAAATGCAATTGAGTCCTAAAATTTTCATAATGTGCAATTAAGTCCTAAAACTTGTTAGTAAAGTGTAATTGAGTCCTAAAACTTTCAAAAAGTGCAAACAAGTCCTAAAACTTATCACAAAATTGCAAACAAGTCCTAAAACTTATCAAATTAGTTCAATCAAGTCCTTCCATTGATTGCACTTTTCGAAAGTTTTAGGACTTGATTGTACCTTCGTGATAAGTTTTAGGACTTGATTGCACTTTTTGAAAATTTTAGGACTTGATTGCACTTTCGTGATAAGTTTTAGGACTTGACCGCATTTTTTAAAAGTTTTAGGACTCAATTGTACTTTCCTGACAAGTTTTAGGACTTCTAGTGCACTTATCCCATAATAGTATAATCCACGAGATCGCTAAATCAACAGGTGCAAGTCTTCCTATCACACTACCACCAAAATCCGCTAATAATCTCTCCTTTTTGTCTTACAAGTCAAAACCGACTTTGAAGCTTGCAGGCATAACTCCTCCGACAAGAGTGAAATCAGGCGAGCCAATCCACTTAGTACAAAATCTCTAACAAAGACTTGAAATTCATATATAAAGAAAAATCAACAAGAAACCATGCTATGGAGACCAAGGAGCATTCTGTGTTATCCAAATTCCAATCATTTGTTTCTTCTTGTATGAATAATTCACTAAATTAAATTCACCTACACTCTTAGAAAAAAAAATTGGTGATGCAACAACAAATTCCTTAAATGACCATAAAATCCAAGGTCATCACATTGGTAGTACTAGTAACTTTGTCTCAGACCCAACATAACAATCTTATCTTTTAACTAGAAACATGCAACATAAAGCTCATATTAGACATTGCTTTGGAATCAAACCTCCGACCCTCCCAAAAAAGCAAAGACTCTCTAGTCTCTCCTCGACATTGAAGCAAAGTGCAAAGAAAACTAGAGGGAAAAAGGGTTTACGAGTTGGAGGTCATAAGATTCAATTACGAGTTAGTGGTGAAGCAGAGGGAAAGAGGGTTTACCAAAAAAATTCGATTTTGGACTCACCTCGCTCTGGATAGTTGCGTTGGAGTCGGTGAGCTGCAAAAGAGAGGCAACAACAAGAGGTGATGGTGGCGAGTCTGGCGACAACGAGATGAGAGGCGACAAGAAGTTGGGTTATGTTCCCACAGCGCCGATGGTGGCGACAACAAGAGGTGAACTGATTGGCGACAATGGTGGCGACTGGCAAGGGTTCTTGCGGAGGAGTTAGGGTTGTTGGGTGCTGGCTTGCTGCATATAGGGAGAGGCGACTGAGAAATAGAGGAGGTAGGGATCGCGCGAAGAGAGAGAGAGAGGCGACTGAGTTCTGGTTTTTTTTTTAACACTAGCTAAAATCGATTCCAAAATTGGTCCGGTCGATCCAGTTTCCATGTGGGTTTTTACTTGGAACAAAGAACCGGACCTGCTCTCAAAAAATGAAACCGGTTTTTGGACCGGTTCTCAAACCTATTTTTCAGGCGGTTCGGTCCGATTCTCAAGTAAATCCGGTCTGATTGCACACCTCTAATGCATGCAAGAGATGGAAACGGCTATTTAATAAAAATTACACAATTTCTTCAAGACTATAATTATGTATACCAATGTGAAGCACGAAGAGCAAGTGAAAATATTAGTAACATAGCAAAAATGCATTCCTCATTATAATATGTTTGCTCACGGTAATTGCGGCCTCTCAGGAGAATTGATAATTGCATTTTTAATGCACTTGCTAGTACCAATACATCTGAGAATTCTTAATTGGCTAGTTGTAAATAGCCCCACCCCAAGACCATGGAACAAAGGGTTACCCCATACCAACACCGTGATATTGGCTGTGATTCTCAAATATCAAATGACAGAATGTGATATAATGAGATAAAATGCAATGGGAACAAAGACACAGGGAATAAACGTGTTACCTACTCTTAATGGTCAAAGCGAACTCTTTCATTCTTAAATTTTAAATTCGAAATGATTTTAATTCGAAATGAATCAAATCTCTTCAAGTAGGATTTGAATCTACGACTAGTCAGCAGTTTAGTTAGCATGTCCAAGTCCGGTATCAAAGCATCGGATCTCACTTTATTTCCTGCGGCTGCGTTACTAGTGTGATTATCGCGCACATAATAAGATCAAGGAATCAATCGGCCGATCCATAGTGAGCAATGCTCTATTAGCCTTTTCTTTGTGTTTTTGAAGGAATTAGAAATACCCATGAAAATGATTTTATTATTTTAGTAATCCTTTTTTATTTTCTTTTAATCTTTTTTTTTCCTCGTTCTCTTTTTTCTATGATTTTAAAATCTCTCTCTTCCAACCTAATATTCCCGCCTGCGGTCAAACCAAATCGTCTAAAACACACTTTATGAAAACGCATGTTGCCTCTCTTTCCTCGCTATCCATTTTGAACCGTCGGATCCAGTTCGGGTCAAGCGACGGCGGCCATGACGACGTCGAGCTCGCTGCTTCCGGCGCTGCTCTGGGCCCTCTCCTTCTTCGCCGTCCACCGCGTCCCTACCGGGAGCGCCCAGTCCTTGCCGCCGGCGAGGTACGACGGGTTCTTGTACGCGGAGCACCGCGTCGACGCGGGCACCATCGTCATCGAAGCCTTCCTGGACCCGGTCTGCCCGGACAGCCGGGACGCGTGGCCATTCCTGAAGGAGGCCGTCGACTACTACGGACCTCGCGTTTGGCTCGTCGTCCACCTGCTCCCTCTGCCGTGAGTGGCTCGAATCTCCCTCGCTGTAGTTGATTTCGCGTTTTCGTTACCGATGAGAGAAGGGGGCAGGACGAGGTTTTTGTCCGGCGATGTTTGGCCGTGTCGAGGTCATGGTCTTTAGCACACAGCGCGGGAAACGATATGTTCGGCTGATATGTTTTGCTGAGGTCGAGCTCGATTGGATTTCCATCACCTGGATATGGAATTGGACAGATTAGGATGTGATAGGGTAAGAAACTTGAGAGATTGTTGTTTTATCGTATCTGGTTCGGAGGACTTTGGGGTGATGGATATAGCTAGCTAGATGATGCAGGGTATCGTTTTTCTTAGCTTTGGGGAGACATGGATGTCTGAATCGGATTGATTGTTCCAATTGTCGGTGAATCTTTGCCATCTGGGCGCCCGAGCAATCAAAAGGGCTGACCTAGATTTAGGCCGAATTGCCTCCGTAATTTGGTTTATGCCTGATCAGAGCAGTGATTCAGTGAGCAAGTCTCAGTAAATGCTGCAATTTCCATATACAAATCTGATATTGCAGCTATTTTGCAGTTGGGGCTTGGTTTGCTTAGTCAAACCATGGTCGCAACTTGGGGTGGGCTAAATCGTGGTTGTGATTCGGTTTGTTGAGCCAAATTGCAATATAGTTAAAATACCCAGTTGGTTCTATCTTTAGTCAAAAGATTGGGCCATTGAGTTATGGACCAACTAGGCATTATCAATTGCTTCTTTTCATTCCAACTTTCCAATGGATGTATAGGTTTATAGTATCAAAGCTTATCTGGTCCTTGAGGTTGGATTTCTCATCCGGTGTTTTTTGTGTGTCTGCACTACCATATGCCATCGGACAGATTTGCCAAATGTCAGATAAAATGATCTCGAATTGATATTTCACATGTCCAGAGACATCCAATCTACATTGTGATGGCAATATATGTAATTGTTTCGATAGCTTGTGTGGTCGAATTGCTGTATGCATGGGTCTGCTCTTCTAGGTCCAGTATTCTCTACACTAGATTGCAGTTTTTATCTTCAAAATCATCTTCTTTCATCATATGGATCAAGAGAACATGTCTGATTGCTCTGCATGGTTGTTCTTGGGATTAGAGATCTCAATATTGTAGCAGAAATATGATTTAATTTATTACTATTTACTAACTTTGCATTTTAACCTTTCGAACTTGCAGTTATCATGATAATGCTTATGTCGCATCTCGTGCGCTGAACATTGTGAATTTGCTAAATACATCAGCAACGTTCCCGCTGCTGGAATTGTTCTTCAAGGAGCAGGTTGGTACCTCCTGTTCTTGTGTCATTGGCATTTCTTCTTACAATGAAAAAAAGCTGGATGCATGAGTTATAAGTGATTTTTTCCTGAATTGATATTGTACAGGGGATTGATGTTAGCGATATTTGACCTATTGCGCCGTCCTTTTTTTGTTTATGATACACGGTGAACTTTTGTGGTGTAGTCGAGAGTAGTTCATGAGGTTTTTGTGATATTAATATCTCTGAGGGAAATTCGGAGTTTGATGAACTTTCTGAAAAACTGTATAATCTCTATGTTGTCTTTGTTTCTCAAAGGATGAAAGGAGGGTTTATTAGCCCTCCTTAGGGAGAGTGGGGTACATACTCTACTCTCATTGTTCTGTCCTTTTTTTATACTCTCATCTCTCACTCATCTTTCTTTCTTTTCTTTTTTTCCTTATTTGTGTACTTTCATTATTTTAGTATATTGTTTTATTCAACTAATACTGCACACCTTATTAAAAAACTGTTAATGCACATCAGATACATTAATCACAGACTATGACATGTTTGGTTTGCTTTCGCCTTTTATTTCGTCTTTCTCTATTTTCAAGTTGCGAGTGGATTTTTTTCTTTTCATTTCTATCTATCTATGAAAAGATACTGAAGGATGGTGCAGAAAATCCTCTATTTTATTCTGTTCTGTACTATCACTATGATGCTAAAGTAGAGTTTTGGAAGGACATATATTACTTCCTTGCTCCCCTCTTCCTTTTATTGTATTAACTTTTATTTTCACTAATTGTCTGTCAATTTTCACCTTTGCCCATTGTTTCTTCTCCTTCTTATTTTCACTTTTTTCTTTTTATCAAATTTCCCATACTTTTTTTTTCAAACTATATTATATGATTCTTTTTAATTTAATAAAAAAATTCATAATCATAAGTTAGCATAACTTGCAGCACAATCAGGAATTTTGATGCTCATAATTTATGTGTCAAAATTTCTGTTTAAGCTCCTCAATGAAATAAGTTCACATTATTGATATACAACTTCATAGTTTTAATAACAATGACTGCATTAAGAAAATTTCGTACATGGTCATGAATTCACTGCTTGCGAAGGAGACAATCTATTAGACACTACCTATTTTTGTGCTCCTGGAGTCCACGAAATATTTGGAGTGAACATAGGATATCATTTAAAAAATTATCCTATTAGTTTTATTGTGACGTAACATGCATGGTCCCAAAACTATTCATTTCAACAACCCCCCAATTTTAAATTTGACACGCATTTATATATAGGACGGCAGTTTTGGAGTTATTTTTCATTTGGTTGATAGAAGGGTCTCCAAATATCTTGATATACATGTATGGAGCTGTCTAAACCTTATTACGGGAAAGTACTTAGATAGATTGAGATTTATAGAGAGTGTTACAAATGTTAAAAAATAAAAAAATTACATGAAAGCTACAATGTCAATTTTTTCGAGTGATGATAAGATTGATAATGTTGTGATTTCGAAATATTATGGTTCGAGACAAGGCATGGGTTAATCTTCTAGTTAAATTGTGACAACTTATGCTTTGATGTTATGGTGATCATGTAGATTTTTCAGTAGTCAACTTCACATTGTGCACATTCTGACATTTGTCTCTTTCTTGGTTGTTTTCTTTCACTGCATAGGTAGCTCTTCTTGGTTGCTTTTCACATCTTAGTGAATTTTCATTGGTGCTTGACCTATTGTTTGCTCCTAGGCTTTGTTTGTGGAAGTAGGGAAGTGAGGAAAATGGAGAGAATTTTAGAACTTTTTGTGAGAAAAAAAAAAGACGAAATTTCTTTTCTTTCCTTTCCAAACTTTCCTCCTCTAAAACAGAGCCTTAGTAGCACATAATGTTTGTTGCATGCAAAAAAGAAACGGTTTCTGTATGTTTTTTGTTTTCAGTCTCTATGGTTTTGAAATACTTGAATTTGTCGAAGGGATTAAGTGTTCTTAATATGTTTGGTACAGGTGAAGTTTTATAATGCCCAGACTGTAAACATGTCAAAGGCAGCTGTGGTGAGTTACATCGCAAACTTTGCCACACAAGTCGTTGCGGACTCCTTGAAATCTGCAGTTGTGTCAGGGTTCGAGAATACGCAAACTGATCTTAAAGCAAGGGTTTCTTTCAAGGTAAGTTTGGATTCTGGATATCGATTCAACAGTCAATTCAGTTAAAATCTGTAGATTCACCAAGACAACCTTGCTGGAATTATAGATGCGGTATTACTTGCTATAAGCATATCTCAGTACAGCTCACTCATTGGGAATGTTGCTTCTGCTGTTGCAGTATAGCGCATCAAGAGGAGTATTTGGCACACCTACTTTCTTCGTCAATGGATTCTCATTGCCCGATAGTGACTCCACCATAGATTATAGTGGATGGAGAAACATTATTGATCCACTGATAGCTGCACAAGGAGATCCACGCGAGGAAAATGTTTATTTTTTCTAATGATTTGCTGTTAATGGTAGTCATTTCAAATCTCTCTCTCTCTCTCTCTCTCTCTCTCTCTCTCTCTCTCTCTCTCTCTCTGTGATGCTGTATAGCTCTGGATCAAATCAAAGACTTTTGATATGTCGATGCGGTTTTACCTTAAGCATGTTGGTGATGTGCATAATTAAGTGATAGTATTGTGCCGGTTGACACAATGTGAGAAATTAAAAGCGTCGCTTGACTTGATGTGCAAGGCCGAGGTTGACTTTGATCGGTGATGAGCAACTGCTTATTCCAGAGGAATTTCTGGACCAGCAAACCATGTTCAAATGCTCGAGACACCTGATTTGGTTTAGATCGGAAGAAAATGTCGAGGCAGTCATGGTTAAACTTGCATAGATAGATAGCATATATAGCTTTTCCGTTTTCATCTGGTTTTTTAATCAAGCTGTAGGTTCAACAACATAGATTACATCATCAGTGTTCATGCTAATTCCAAAGTTCATCTGATGTACAAATCTAAGAACAGGAAGTCAAACTTTTAGAGCATCAGCACAAGCCGTCCCTGGTGACGGAAGACGACGGCAAGAGGAGGAAGACGAGTGTACTGTTTTTGTCTTATCCTACGCCTTCGAAGTCAACTTGAATTCGGAAAGAATGGTGCTGCCGAGACTCGCCTACTATATTTAACCGTGTCCACTAACTTAAATAATGGTTCGCAGAGTCCCATATCATAATTCGAGCATCGTGACCCACAATATTGTCACCAAATCAAAATGTCACAATGTCATATTTATGGTGACAAAATTATATAGTCTCAATAAGAAATAACTACCAATTCAGTCCTAAATCAATCATGCGGATGCCAATTCAGTCATAAACTTTTCAATTTTGCCAATGTAGTCCTAAATCTTTATGTGAAATTCTAATGTAATCCTTTCGGCTTCTAGTAAATTGCCGCGAAAATCGCTGATGTGGCGTCTAGTCATCACATGGCCATCCTACGTGGCATGCTGACGTGGATAACTTGTGGATCACCGCCTCAGCGATATCTAATGGTAATTGGCTAGGAGGATTACATTGAAATTTTGCGTGAAGATTTAGGACTACATTGGTAAAATTGAAAAGTTTATAATTGAATTGGCTAGGGGTGTCAATGGGTCGGGTCGGGTCGGGTTTTCATGATACCCGACCCGACCCGAAACAGTGAATATGTGCTTGGCCCGACCCGAAATAAGACCCGAACATGATATAGCCGGACAATCGGGTCGAGTTTGTGTTTAGAGGTTTACTAATCATTTCTTGCGGTCGATTCATTTTCTCAATAACTTTATCAGCACCTTGTTTTGCTCAAAATCTTCATTTTGTCCCGTACCTTACATATGAAAAAAGGAAAGAGTTTGACAAATGAATATACAGCAAAAAATTCTGCTGTCTCTCTCCCCAGAAATCTCTATGCTTTCCTGCTCACAGAAGAAAAAGAACATATGCTTACACTGGTGACAAAAGTGAACAGAGGGTTCTCCTCTTGTTGATTTCAGTTTCTTAGGTTTCCCACAGCTTGGAACGCGTGACAAACATACAAATCAGCTTCCAGCAAAACCCAATTCCTCTTAATTAAATTTCATTGTAAGAAGAACAAACTGTGCACCAGCACAGCAAGCCCTGAAGAAGCACAAAGAAGACAGGAGCTTTTACAAAGCTTGACTAGTTCCAATCGATGACAGGAAAACTCTCGCGGAATCTTGTTTTGCTTCATGTGGATTCTATTCTGTAAAATTAGCAGAAAAGGAAGCGGTGAATGTTCAAATCATTATTGATTGCTTGTTAACGTACAAATATCAATTGGAAATAGAAATGTGGGTAATGAAGGGGCCTCCTGATTACAAATTGCCAAAGCCAATGAGATGGAAGTTGGACAGAAATCAGCGTGAGGACTAAACAAACTCTGTTCAAGACACAAGTAAATTTGCAATAAGAATAAAAAAAATTGGTTTAGCAAGTACCAATTTCCAACTTCGTCAATCATCAAGAGAAACTGATGTCGAGTTCGGCTCCATATTTGTAGTTGAACACTCTGCAGCTTCCTACTTTCTTCATCGACCGAGGAGCAAGAATCAACCATTAAAATCACGAAGGAAGGAAGGAAACCGAGAAACGATTCCGAAATTTCTGCAATACAAGGTGAACGGAGGATTTTACCTGGATGTAACTCAGATTGAATGACGACAGCGCGTGAGGTTGTTGCGGGAGGACGAAGGAGAAGGCGAGCAGGAGGAGGGAAGGGACGGCGAGTTTTCGTCAAGATAAGGTTTCGGTGAACATCCGCAAGAATGAATCTGAGCTTGTTGTTTCGGTTGGGCTCGGGTGTGAACAAGAAAAAGATAGTGTTTCCTTGTTAGTTGTTTTGGTTGGGCTCGGGTGCCCGAGCCCAATTGTTTTTTCTGTTACCCAAACAAATTGAGGTCCAACCCGATCCAATACAAAAAAATTTCGGGTCGGGTCGGGTCGGGTCGGGTCGGGTCGGGTCGGGTCGGATCGTGTTTGGGCGGGTTCTTTTGACACCCCTGGAATTGGCATATCATTTTTCCCCCAAAATAATAGTTTAGATGAAATTCATTTTTATTGAGACGGATAAATTTTGTCAGAAGATACATAATTTTAGCAAAATGACTTTACATATATGCTTTGCTGGTGAAAATACTTTCATCGGGACATTGTTGTTGGTACGGAATATTTTGTTTGAAGAACAAATTTTGTTGTTGCTGGAAAAAAAAATCTCACCATAAAAAAATCTTCTTGTGATAAAAAATCGATTTTGTCACGGCATATTTGCGACAGAGAAAGGTTGACTTTGTTACAATGTATATGATTTCGTACGAGGAATTTCAAACATATTTGGACAATTTCCATCGTATTGCGACAGCATGGATAGTTTCTCTTAGCAAATTTATTTGTCACAATGGTTAAATTTTTTTGCAACATAATGTACTATCGTGACAATTTGTAACATGACATATATGTTACAATGCATAGGGTATGCTTAGCACGTCATAATTATGATATTAGATCTATCGAACATTTTATTGCATAAAATTCAGGAGCATTTCATTATAACTATAAAAGTGCCACTAGATTGATGGAATATTACGATAGTGTCATAGGTGCATGGATTGTTACACGTTGAAAATGCCCAAAGTGCCTCTAGGACACACAAACTTTAATTAATATATACATGAGGCCCATATTGTTCCACATGATCATTGATATTTATCACATGTTTCAATCACCTACTTTCTCTCCCTCTCTTTCATAACTACAACTTATTAGCTACTCTTAGCACTATTGTACCACAAGCTTTGCCTAACTCAAGTTACCCACTTATCACTAGTTTATCTTGCCACGTCTCTTCAAATTTAACCATATGTTTTAATCATGAGATGATATCATGCATGGCATAACTTTAATCTTGGTTAATTAATGCCTTAAATATCTAAAATGTCAGACTTCTTTCTCATTTCCTAGTTGTGGCCTTGAGCTCCACCTCGATCCTCTCTCCAACCATCATCTTCATTTGTTATACCCCATTTCACACTCAAATTTCATGTATCCAAAAAGTCCAAACGGTAAAAGCTTCCATTTGGATATATTCATAACACTAGCACAAGTGAAGGTAGCTAAGAGTTTCCATCTTTGTTAATCAAGCCATCTTTGAAGTAAGATTATATCTCCCTCCAAGTTTCGGTCACCTCAAAATTGTTAGATTAGGTGTTTGATGTCTTAACTAGTGTTAATTAAAGGTCGTATCACTTGATTTTAAGGTGGATCAACCTCTATGTTCCCTCAGAACTTTCCATTCAAGTTAAGTGAGTCTTTAGGGACTAAATGGGGTCGATCCACTTAGTACTCCTGATGCTCGTTTGATTTTAACTTAAAATATTATTATAGATCCATGTTGTTAAAAGAAATTAGGGATTACATGAGAACTAGTAGAGGGCATGACTATATGTATGGGTGATTTTAGATAATTTTGTATCATGAGTGATGCAATGTTAATTTAAGATGAGACTGATGCTTTGTTGATGCCTACTTGTGCTTTTATGAAATTGTTATTAATAGTACATAAAATGCCCATTATGTTCATGATGCCATTAGAAGACGATATGAGTCATTCTATAGATCATGACTATATTTCATGAATGAAAACATGATTATTTCAAGAGGATGTTGAATGACTTTGATGATTAATGATAGGAGAATGATGAAACTATGTACCCACCCATGGGTAACTCAGTTGGTTAGGGTGTATTTGGGACTGTGTGGTTAGGCGCACTGGTCCCAGGTTCGATTCCCCAGCTGAGCACTTGTGATTTAAGTGGGGGCTATGGCGGTGGGTTGCTGTGCTAGTCTCCCCCAAGGAATAGTCGAGGTGCGCGCAAGCTGGCCCGGACACCTCGGTTACAAAAAAAAAAACTATGCATGTAAATGCGTAAAGTAGTAATTTTGTTTAATACAAGGGAAAGAATGTGAATTCACAGCATATACATTCTTCTGTGAAGACTGAACTTTGTTAATTAAAATGATTGTTAGTTAGTGATTGTTATATTTCGTCGGTCCGCCCATGATATGTGTGTCCAAAGGACACTATTTGCTCTAATAAGAAATGTGTCTGAGAGACACCTTTTGAAGAGGTGCGAGAAGAGTTTCTTAAGGGAAGTTAAGATAACTTCCTCTGATGATGAACCAGATATTAAGAACTCTCTCTCTCTCGATGCATTAGGATTCCGTATCTACTTTGAAAAGACAATCGGCAAGACCAAAAGATATTTAGAACTCTCTCTCTCTCTCGACGCATTAGGATTCCGTATCTACTTTGAGAAGACAATCGGCATTAATGTTGTGGAACGAGAATACTTTCCTTGTGATTGTATTCGGACCAACGTGTAGTAGATTCGTTTATCATTTGCTGGTGATTCAACGTATGATCCTGGAAATTTTGTTTGTAGTGCATCGAACACGTTAGTCGATTCTCCCGACACTTGTTTCCAACATTGGTATCAAAGCATCGGTTATGATCTCTGCCTTGTTTTCCTGTTTATTTTTTCCACTTGCTGTTTGATATGGAGATCATGATAATGAACTTCATACTGTCTGCATGTTCATTGCTCGGGAATTGCAAGATGAATCGACAAACATGAATTGAAATGAAGAACGGGTTTGAACGTTACGGGCGACCGTTTTGTTCGGATGATT